CTAGGCTAGCGCATGTCAATGGCCATAGTTATCCTGCCACTAAAAACAATCTTACCCACTCCACAAAACACCTGAAGAAAATCTAGTATAACGTCAGAATATGGAATATTTTAAAAAGTGTCTCCACACATCTCCAACACTCTGGCTCACTAGGAAATGAGGCCCTATGTCCAAAATTCCGGACAGTTCCTATTTCCCATTTTTAAGAAATAGCCAAGGCTTTTTGCTTCTTCTGAGCATTCACACTTCATTGTGATTGGCTAAATGTTACTCTCACTTACACAGAACATGACATAGACTTAGACAAACTTTATTGATCCACAAGGGAAATTATTTGTACACAGTAGCTCACACACACACACACACACACACACACAGTAAAAATATAAATTGTAATAATCGCAGTAACATGGATGCTGACCAGTACTAGCGCTCAATCCCGAAATAAAGATTGCTCTAATACATTTTGTGTCCAATTTTAAATTTTAGGTTAAGTAAGGCAATATTTTTGGTTTTGCTACCTATTTCACTGCAGTTTAATAATGGTAGTTTTCCACTCTAACCAAGAGAAAGCCCATATGCAGCCTGAGAGCCTCCTGCCAATCATCCACTGGAGCATAATTGGTTGACAGTGTGGCTGAATAGGTCATTAGCTCAGAGTATCATCATTAACTGAATAACTACTCCGATAAATCTTTATTTCCAACCAATGTGGAGGCTAATTTGTTTTTCTCGGAACACTAACGCTGTCCGGGCCATCCAAACACCACGCATCGATTGATAGCAGCAGTCTGTCTGAGGCCACCGCATTGGGGATTGGATTTTGAGGAGTTTTTGGCAGCAAAGTGGAGGCAGCGTGAACAGGTAATCTCATATTTTCAACAGAGATGCCAGCGGACAAATATATCAACACAATTGGAACTAATGCATGAATCCATCTCCAGCTAAATGTACACTGCATATCAGAAAAGAGACACATCAACACCTCGTACTGTACAAACTTAACAAACCTTCCAATCCGTCTTGTCCAGATTGAACAGGAGCTATTCAAGTTGACAGTGATGTTTCTAATGACCTTGTTTGTGCTCGTAAACCTGCATTTCCACAGTTGCTAAATGACTTGATACAGTTATTTTCAGTCACATAATGGCATGTCAAATGCTTGTCCTCGGGTTATTACAAAGTTAGCGTCATTCATTTCATTAGTCCTGTTTACAAGGTTGTCTTGGATGTTTTGCTGTCTTCGCAACATTTTCGTGAGCAGATTAGAAACCCAGAGGTCTCCTGCACATTTTTGGGACCATAAACCATCACTGGACTCAAAATTGCTCTCAGTACAAACATATGGGTGCATTAGCTTGGTTTTTTTGTTGCTAAATGGCTGCTAAAACTTTATTGTTGTCAGCAGAGGGATCTCAAGTACATCTATAATAGCTGGAAGTTTTTTTTTCTCCCAAATATAAGCAAGTTGTAAAAAAAAATTTTATGTCAAGGTGACCGATCATGACATTTCCACTTTAAGTCTCTATGTAAGTAACAGGTTTGTACTGTTGCCAGATAAATACTGTATAAATAAATAAAAAAAAAAAAAAAAATGCTGTCCCCAACTCTTGTAAAACTAAGTGACCTAAACTGCAAACATCCCTCTCTCACAGTGGGTTTCCATAGAAAGCTTCCAGTTGCGGTGACAGTCCTGAGGCAAAAGTCTAAACTTCTGGGGCCTGCAGTCTGCCCTCTGCTGAGCTCCAGGCTGCTGCTGGGTGTCACTTTGGCTCATTTATTTTCTAAACTTTTGGAAATTCTGACATTGTTTTGTCAGAGATACACCAGCCGTGACATTTATGACTGTGCTTCACAACTTTAACTTCTTGATCGACGTTTGCTGTTGTGAAGTATAACTGGGTATACAAAACGTTGTTAACCTACGATCTATTTTCCTGTTTTGTAGTCGGCATATTTTAGCATTGTAACAGAAGGTCAATACTACTTAGTCTTGAAAATCAGATACTAACCGATTGTAAAACTAGTACCAAAAATAGGTAGTCATTTGAGCAGGTTTCAATAAATATAAAAGATATAAAAAGAAAGTACTAATATTTAATGTTGACAATCACTATCTATCGTAGTATCAAGTATCAAATCTACTCCTCACTTTCGAAAAGGAAGTTTGAAATGTTCGTGTATCATGACTAGGGATGGGCATGATTAGTTGATTAATCGATAATTGATCATTAAGAATTTCATCGATTACGTTCATTTTAATCGACAAACCGAATGTAGGTTGCTGTGCGTAGTGTGACCAAACGGGTCCGTACATGTAGCTCTCTGCACTCAGAAGGAGCAAACAGACACCTGCAACGTGCCGAAGCGCAAATACGTATTTAACGATGACTTGTACAAGAAATTCCACGCTTTCCGGACAAGTGGGAGGCCATGTGCACAGTGTACAAAGCAGCTCATATGTTTCGGTGTCCAGCGGGAAAAAACTTTTGCCAGGTGAGAGTTGCGCAATGTCGATGACGAGTCCCAACCTCCCACCCCCCGTACGGTGTCCTGGTTTTGACAAACGCAAATATGGTCACACTAACTTGTATTCCACTGAGTCATGTCGCATCAGCGCACAAGAGCTGTTTTTTTCTTTGCTTAATTTATGCAAATTAGCCATGCGGTTTTAAGTTTGGTTTCTGTGAGAGTTGCACAAAACGGAATTAATGAACACATTATAATGTCAAACAGGCTGATGTGGCTCTAGAGTGGTTACGGTTTATATGTCGTAAAGTTGAATTTATTTATGCAGATTAGTAGTGCAGAGTAATGATGATTATTTTAATATAAAAAACGTTAATGATTAATCAATAATCTATCGTAAATTCTCCTGACGATCGATTAAGAAAATTTTATCGAATGCCCATCACTAATCATGACAACACTTATTGTAACGTAACCACACGATCAATATGGCTCTCTTATGGCTGTACATTCAAAAAGATAAAATGTACAGTAATGTCAGTATGTTTGTAACAGTGGAGGATACTGGAGCCCTTGAAAACTGCAGAAAATCAATGTCACATAGAAAATACAGTAGTAGTTTCATGGTCAATACTGGGCTATGAGCGCTGTACAGATTTACGTGCATAGATGACAACAGGCTTCATAGATCTGAACAGGAATTATGAGGTAGAAAACATCACTTACCTTGTGTTTTGCGCTCCTGTTTATCTATTGATTTGTACCTATTGATTCTGTACCTTGAATCCAGGTCTCACATGTCATTCTTGTATATGACTTTCCACACATAAAGCAAAGCGAACATCATGACTGGCGAAAACAACTGCTATGTTCCTTCCTTATAACAAATCGATGGTCATACTTTTCGCTGGAAGACCATGAAAAACGTCTTTCCTTTTTGAACGCGTGAGTGTGTTTGAGAGTCAAGAGGTCAAGGGAGATGAAGGGCTAGTTCAACACCCGAGTGACAGGCGAGCGAATGAACATTAGTAGTTTATTGTAACCAGATGGTCTTATATAGTTCTGAATAGGGTCGTGAAAAGTATAAAAAACGGATACTAAACGATAGAAATGAGCCCTGAATAGCTTTAGAATGATCTAGAGCTGTATCAGAACAAGTTTGTTTTTAAAGCTTCGGACCTTGTTCAAATTTACACCACAGCGAGCGCTCTGAGGTCCAAGGTCCAGCTCCAGTTCGAGGCGAGACTTAAAACCAGAAGGGGCCAGCGCCTTCTCTGTGGCCGGCCCCAAACTATAGAACGCTCTGCCCCCCAAGTCCGAACAACCCTCACAGCAGCGTCTTTTAAGTCTGGTCTTAAAACCCACTTGTATTCTCTGGCTTTTAACACCGCATCAGTTGTGTGGTCCTCTGTGTCTTTTGGTTTATTTCTATGTTTTTCACCTTTTTATTATTTATTGGTATTCTTGCTCTTATTTGATTTGACTAGTTTTATTGTTTAAACAAGGACAAGTGGAGTTAAGTAGAGCTTTACTTTATATTTCTATTGGATATGTTTTATTTGTTTTGTGCAGCACTTTGGAAACTGTTTTGTTTATATTTGTATGAACTGTGCTATAAAAATAAAGTGGATTGGACTGAAATATAAGTCCACATAGAGTAGGAAACACCCATGGACCACTGTGGAACCCACCTGGACGTCTCAGGGATTACACACATATAGCCACATGGAAATATAAAATTAAATACTGCAATTTAATGTTGAAAATGACATTCTGTTATCATCGTGGTATCAAAATCCATATTGAGTATCGACTCTATTCCTTGAAATTTTAGAATCGTGACAACACTAGTTAGAGTTAGACTTAAGATGAACTTTATTGGTCCAAAAGGGAAACTATTTGTGCTCCTGTGACTTGCTGCTCTATCTCTGGTCATAAAGGACGAGGCACTCAGGTCAGAAAGCACAAAGAGTTCTGACACTGATCAACCCTTTTCTAAAACTATTCAGGAAAGAACAGTATTTGCCCTGTTTACTATGTTATTTTATTTATTTATTTATTTTTTTAGATACAAATCAATATTGTAACTAATATCCGGCTATGTGTTAATAACCCTAGTGTCTACAAAATACTCTGAGAAGACTTTATGATCGTGGTTATTATTTAAATCAAAATTTATGAGATCTTTACTTACTACTTCTAAACTTTTGGTCTACACTTATCTCAAGAGGCACTAGAACCACCTGGACTTGCATTTGAGCTATAACTTCTCTAGTTGCAACTTACCCCGACTTAATATACCTTTCTCAAAGTACTCCATGAATTACCAAGTACAGTTATAAAAAAAACATAAAATGACTTCAAATGTTTTCTTTATCGCAGTACTTTCGCAATATCGACATTGGCGCGACTCCAGCCTCCTTTGGTCTGGTCTTCAGCACACTCTTATCACGGCCTGGACACATCCTAATAGTTTGTCACCGGAGTTGACTGCCCTCTAACTCTCCGCTCCTCTCTGTTCTCCCCCTCAGATGATGAAGCACGCCTGGGACAGCTACCGACGCTACGCTTGGGGTTCCAATGAGCTCCGGCCCGTCTCCAAGCAAGGCCACTCCAGCAATCTGTTTGGTGAGTGCTACACAGAGGCAGACAGCACTGATCCCCTGCCTCCTCGGGCTTAGCATTAGCAGTCCTCAGCTGACCCATCCTTCGCCAGGTTCTCCAAAATGTCAGCTTTATCATATTTAGATTAGGTTTGTGCTTCCTGTCACCTTGTACAGCTGTTAATGAGGTCGGTGACAGCTGCATGCATATCTCTTTGGTTGAGATAGGTGTTTGTTGATGTTGTTCAGACCGATATCTTAACAACTTGTTGTCACCAGCTCTATAGGAACTGCTGGTTGTTTATGGCAAGACATAAATCTGTTAAGAACTGCAATATTGATATTATTGCAATATTTATAGACTTTTTGACTCAATCGTCTTTGTTATAATTAAAAAAAAATTGCTTTAATTTACTAGTGTCAAAATACAAAATATATAAAAATTGACAAAACATGAACTTACTCAAGGGTAATTTTGGACTTAATAAGGAAAATTATTAATAAAATCAGCTTTTTTTTTTAACATGTTCTTTTTAAAAAGCATTGCATTTTTGTCAGAGGTCTGCAACACCAAGGATCTCTATTTGTTTCATACCTTGACTTTTTCAGCCACACTCTCAGCTAATTTAAATGGATTTTGATGCTGTTTTCCTACTTGCAGCAGTTGGATGACAGTGAAACCTGCAGTCCAGTTTCTTCAGAACTGTATCCCAATTGTGAGAAAGTTGGTACGCCTCTGTCTGGTGGGAGTGTTTTCAGATCTCAGTGGTTTCCCTGATCCAGCAGTGGTACTTGTTGCTCTCTGTGCCGAGTGTTGTCCCAATCCATTTTCCCTCTGTCAAGGTATCAAACAAAAAGAGGTCTGTAAGTAAGAATCAGAAGTATAATCTGTACAGAAGACCTAATGAACCTAATTGGAACCTTGGTGTTACTGGAATATATTGAGTATGTTGGGATATTGATTATTGCGTCAGTCATTATCACAATATTGATACTTCTGAGATACTGTATATTGTGCAGCTCTAACAAATCAAGTGAAGATAATTTTTTCTTATAATTGGAATATTTCTAACTGCCACCTTAGGTTTTGATTATTTTCAGCATGCTCTTTTGAAGTATTCCCGTCTCGATGTCTTTCCTAACACTATTTCATTTGCACAGTCTCTGGGAGGACATATCAATCAATCAATAAACCTAAAGTTAGTTTCTGAACTTGAAACGTTTCAATATTCCAAATAGACCATTTTTATTAAACCGAAAGTTGTGAAGACAATTTCATCGGGTAGAAGCACTGCAATAGGTAGTAGTAGAAGACATATAATGCAGTATTGTAAATTCAATTGCCTTGCGCGGTAAAACTTAAACTGAGCATCAATACGACTGTAAGTGAATGGTTTTCTAATTGCCTGGTGTGTTTTTGTCTACACAATCTGGCTTTATTCCCGCGCTTTGTTAGTTCTAATGATATTTGTGTTGTCTGAGCTGGCGTCTCAGCGTCTTTATGTAGAGCCTGTTTATTTATTAACGGACTAGAAGTCATTTATCGGAGCTGATTGGATTAATAAGATCGCAGTAGGATTTCTAAGTGGATATGATCTCCTTCCTCTTTGCACCTAATTAAATTCTCAGTGTGAATGTTTTGTTTGTCTGAGCTGTGAGTGAGTAGTGTACATTACAGTGCAGAGTGAATCCGGTATCTGATCAGATCTCAGTCATGTGTGAAAAGAGGAAGAGAACATATGTCACTTTCACTATTGGCCTCGCCCATTTAGACCTTTCTCCCACACAGATATTGCACCATGACAGGAACAACTACTCCAAATTGTTCTCATCTGCTAAAATGACATCTAAACTGCATAAGTTTTAAAGAAAACTGCATTCAGACTGGTGGGAATCGTGCAACTGTAAAAAATAAATAGTCAGAAATTAAACAGATGATGTTCTTATCTCTGTGAGTGCTATGCTAATAGAGCCATGCATTCATTGTGCACACACCATAGGATGGGTCGATGATGGTTTTTGGGCTTAAAACTGAGCGACAGAAGTCTGTAGTTTTATCTGTGGCACAACTAAATGGAAAAATGTGATTGGAGCATTTTTGTGTGCTCAGAAAAGACTACTTTGGATTAATGGATTCCTGAATGAAGCAAAAAAACAAACAAAAACAACTCCAGGTATGTTTTTGATGAGGGAATATTATAACATGGTTAAAAGCTCAAAAAATAAAGTTTGCATAATATTTGTGCTTTTAAATTACTGTGTTAATTGACCAAGACCGATAATGTGTCTTATCTAGTGCCTACAAAGTGTCTCTATCCCTCTGGGCTTCACAAGCATTATTTATTGAGCAGAAGAAACATTGATCGAGATGCATACGGACTGAGCCAGGATTGAACCGGGACTGAACCGGGACTGAACCGGGACTGAACCGGGACTGAACCGGGACTGAACCGGGACTGAACCGGGACTGAACCGGGACTGAACCGGGAGAGAACAAGACTAAACCAGGACTAAACCAGGACTAAACCAGGACTAAACCAGGACTAAAACCAGGACTAAAACAGGACTAAAACAGGACTAAAACAGGACTAATACCAGGACTAATACCAGGACTAAAACAGGAGTGATACCAGGACTAAACCAGGACCAAACCGGGACTAAAAATGGAGTGATACCAGGACAAAAACAGGACTAAAACAGGATAAAAACGGGACTAAAACGGGACTAAAGCGAAACTAAAATGGGACTAAAACAGAAGTGATCCCAGGACTGAACCAGGAGGACTAAACCAGGACTAAACCAGGACTAAACCAAGACTAAAACAGGACTAAAACGGGACTAAACGGGACTTAAATGAGACTTAAACGGGACTTAAACAGGTCTAAAACAGGAGTGATCCCAGGAGTGAACCAGGAGGACTAAACCAGGAGTGATCCCAGGAGTGATCCCAGGAGTGATCCCAGGTCTAAGCCAGGTCTAAACCAGGACTAAACTAGGATTGAATCAGGTCTAAACCAGGTCTTTGATGAATCATTAAGGTTTTATATTCAAATGATCATTATTATAACTACTGTTAATCTGCTTAAATAAACTCAACTTTACAACATATAAACCTTAACCACTATAGAGCCACATCGGCCCATTTGACATTATAATGTGTTTAATGCAGCTTGTTTACATTTTACAAAAACAAAGCTTAAAACTACACGGCTGATTTGCATCAACTTTAAGCGCTGAAAAAACAGCTCACTCCTTTTGCATTGACACTGGATTAAAGGACACGACTCAGTGGAATATGTGTGCTCTTTGTGTGACAGAGGGATTTTGATGATACATAAATGTGTGAAACAGTTGACGAAACAAAACCTGGGTCAGTTACGAGCACTCCCAAAATCGCGTTGTCTGAGATCGCGATTTTCGGTCCAAAATGACAGATCGTTGAGCCGTACTCCCAAAGACATGCAGCTGAAATGATCAAAACACTCTCCAGTATCCACCACTTCCAACAGGAAAAGACACAAAAGAGTATGAATAACTGACGCCTATTATTATATTGTTAGTGCTTCATTATCAAACTCAATGAGGCACACACAATGTCTTCTTTTTAATTTAACAAGTTTATGCCTAATTACTTTGAATGCATCTTTATATTACATTGAGATGAATGACTTTACTTTCCCATCTCGTAAGAATTATTCAGATGTTAAAGCATGATAACATTAGAATAATAATGTAAATGGGTTAAAGAGAGGACTTACACTTCTATGGGATCTCTGCTATGCTAGATTACATTAACATGCATGGATGACATACTGTATAAATCCACTGCAGGCATGTTTTTAATGAGGAAACAACATTATAACATGGCAGAAGGCTCCAAAAAAAATCAGTTTTGCACCTCCTTTTTAATAAATGCGTGTAAACCTCCTCCCTTCGCCCTACACCTGGCCTCTATTATTAAGCCCCCTGTAAATATAAACATAAATCTGGGCTTGTTTGCTCTATAGGAAACCTGGAGGTGTCACTTCATGGCTGCAGTTAACACCCCGTAATTAACTCTCACAAATTGCCTCCGTGGGCTCGTTTACTTTGGCTGCAAACTTTCTGCTGTCACACCTTTTCATTGAGATCGACCCGATGAAAACAGCGCGTCTTTTTAGTTTAAACAAAGTACATAATTAAAGCCAGGATTAGCTCTGTTAGAAGATGATTTTAGAAAGTGTTTGGTGGAGTCGGTGACAGTACCATTGTAGCCCGTGTTTGCGTAGCTGCTGGATTCTCTGATGAGTTGTTTCTTTTGTCTTTCGTCTCATGCGCTTTGAGTTGTTGGGAAATGGATCGTTCATTATGTTTAGCAAATGTGACATGTTTATTTTTTGACAATTTATTTTTAATTTGATAAACTGACACGATATCAATTCCTGGGAGACATTTTCTTGTTTATTCTTCGCTGTCTGGAGTTATTCATTTACTCCAGACAATACAATGTTGTTTGAGTAATTTTTTTGACACGGCATTTCAGGTGAGTAAATGATTTCTGATGTAGAATTCAGTGCTTGGTTTTAGTTTTACATAATTCATCTTTAGTTTGAGGGTCGTAGGATTTCCGGGGACGCCATGAATGCAACCACAGCATAAAATCTAGGCTCCCGTCCGAAAGTTTACAATTAGGTTAATAACTTCATTTAATCTCAGCATTTCAGTGGCCATAAAGATAAAAGATGAGTCCCTCGAGTAAACAAAACAAAGGCTCAGATAAAAGTGAAACTACGAAATCCGACATGGAGGAAAAAAGACCGCCGGAAAATCAAGACGGCCACAGAGACACAAAAAAGTGACTGGACTAATTAGAATTATTAGTAGAGGAGTTAAAAACGAAAACTCAGGGACACGAAAAAAGACTGAACAAGGCAGAAAAGAGGATTAGCAAAACGGAGGACCGGTGTAGTATAGGATTGTGACCCCGGGGTGAACATACCATATAGTATAGTATATAGTATATTTGACCCCGGAGTCAGAATCCTA